GAATCTGGTGTGGGTATCTTAAGAACTGTCTCTTTTCTAGCATCCGACAGCCATCTTTGCCCCTCTTTAAGCATGTACCCCAAGTAGCTTACCTCGGGTTTGCAGATCTGGGCCTTTTTGGCAGATGCCCGGTACCCCAGTTCCCCTATGACCATCAAGAGTTTCTTGGTTCCACTTAGGCAGTCTTCCCGCATTTCAGCTGCTATGAGGAGATCATCTACATATTGCAACAGAGTCAATTGGGGGTTTTGGAGGCGAAACTCACCCAGGTCTTCATGTAGGGCCTCATCGAAGATGGTGGGAGAATTTTTGAACCCTTGGGGTAATCGGGTCCATGTCAGCTGTCCGCTGAGACCTTGTTCCGGGTCACTCTATTCAAATGCAAAGATGTGTTGGCTTTTGGGTGCCAGCAGAAGGCTGAAAAAAGCATCTTTGAGATCCAAGACAGTGTACCATTGATGGCTTGGGGGAAGTGAACTCAGAAGGGTGTATGGATTAGGCACTGTGGGGTGGATGTCCATAACCCTCTTGTTTACTTCTCGGAGGTCCTGCACTGGCCAATAGTCATTTGAATGAGGTTTCTGCACCGGCAACAAGGGGGTGTTCCAGGCTGATTGACAAGGCCTAAGAATCCCCTGAGCAAGCAACCTTCTGATGTGTGGAGTTATTCCCTTCTGGGCCTCTAGGGGCATAGGATATTGGCGGACCCGCACAGGGTCCACTCCAGGTTTTATCTCTACAAACACTGGTGCTCTGTGCGCAGCCAGTGCCATGCCCCCAGTCTCTGCCCATGCTTGTGGGAACATGGTGAGCCATTGTTCCATGTCAGGATCAGGAGGGACCCTCTTCTGGTGTAGCAGATATTCATCTTCTAAGCTTATGGTTAGCACCTGGATGGGTTTTCTCTCCTGATTAAGAACTTTTGTGCCTCTGGGTTGAAAATGGATTTGGGCCCCTAATTTAGTGAGCAAGTCTCTTCCCAATAAGGGGTAGGGGCAGTCTGGTATAACCATAAATGAGTGGGTTACCCAGCCCACTCCCAAGTCCACTGTTTTTTTGGTAGTCCATGAATACTTTTTCATGCCTGTAGCTCCCTGAACCCAGGAGGATTTATCAGAAACATGGCCACATGGTTCAAGTAGGACTGAATGTTGAGCCCCTGTATCCACTAGGAACTCGACAGGTCTCCCCTCCACTTTTAGGGTTACCCTGGGCTCGGGAAGGGGTGCCAAACCCCGTCCCCCCTAATCACTCAGTTCATCCACCACCAGGATAGGGGCCTTGGGACAACCTTCCTGTTGTTTCTTTTTGGGACAATCCTTGGCCCAGTGGCCTTCCTCTTTGCAATGAGCACATTGATTTTTTCCTAACTGGGGATGCTCTCTGCGTCTCCCCTTGCCTTCTCCTTCCACAGCAATCTTTCTTAGTCTACGTTCATGTTCCTTTTGCTCTCCCGCAGTGGCAGCCAGAAGGATCCGAGCTAAGTTTCGGGTCTGGCGGTCATCAGCTTTTTCTCGTTTCTCCTCTGTGGTTTCTCTATTGTTATACACTTTCTCTGCCACTGTCACTAAATCCTGAATACTCTTTTCTCCTAACCTATCTACTTTCTGTAACTTTTTCTTAATGTCTGGCGCCGCCTGGTTGACAAAATGTATTATTACAGCTGTCTTTGTCTCAATTGCTTCTGGGTCCATAGGAGTATACCTATGGAAGGCTTCCTGAATTCTTTCTAAGAAAGCAGCAGGGCTTTCATCTAACTTTTGTTGTACATCCCCTACCTTAGCAAAATTGGTGGGCTTCCGTGGCGCCACTTTGAGACCTCCCAGCAGAGACTGGCGATAGACCTGAAGCCTCTCCTTACCTTCTGCTGTGTTGAAGTCCCAGTTGGGTCAGGACAGAGGAAAAGAAGTGTTGATAGTGTCAGCATTGGTGGTGGGTTGACCATTGTCACCAGGAACCAATTTTCTGGCCTCATTTTGGATCCTCTCTCGTTCCTCAGTGGTGAACAGGACCTGCAGAAGCTGTTGATAGTCATCCCAAGTGGGCTGATGGGTAAACAAGACAGTTTCTAACAGGTTAATCAAATCTCTAGGGTTATCAGAGAAGTTGGTGTGTTGACGGCACCAGTTATAAAGATCACTGGTAGCAAAGGGCCAGTAATGGTGAGGCTGGTTTCCATGTCCACCAGGGGGTCCTATCACTCACAGTGGAAAAACAGTACAGTTCGCCGGGCCCGCCATCGAGGCGGCACGCCGGTGGCAAGTATTTTGGGCAGGGCCATCATGGTTGTCGGCACTTGGGGCCGGCCCTTTTTCCCCAGTCCCAGCCTGGACTGGGTCATTTCTTTCAACCTGCTGTTGTGGGGGAAGAGAGAGAGAGTAAGGGGGAGGGAAAATAAGATCTTCTTCAGTCCCTCCCTGGAGGACTGGGTAAAGTGGCTTGGTCGGCTTGGTTTTGGTTTGCTTTTTGTCATCGTGCCCTTTGGGAGTCTTTTCACAGGCTGTCAGGATTAACTTTGGTTGTTGTTGCTGTGAAGGCAAAAAGAGCTTAACCCATGGGGGTGGGTTATAGATTAGAAATTCCCAAATGGCAATGCAGGGAACCTGGTCAGGATGAAGGATGGCTTTACGAACTCTGCGTACAATCTGTAAATCAAAAGTTCCCTCGGGGGGCCATCTTACCCCAAGGGTGGGCCACTCTGAGCTACAGAGGGTGATGAATTTAGTCTTTTTAATTTCTAAGCTTAGGTTATGAGCGCACTCCCTGATTTCTTTGAAATGGTCCTTCATGAGGGAAAGAGGTGTAGTCACAGTCTGTCCCATCGTCTCAGTCCAAGTCAACACAATAAACAGACAAACAAACACAACAGAAAAGCACAAGGCAAGACAAAACCATCCTCCGCCTGATCAGAGGCAATGAAAATGGGACGATGGCCTCACGCCGTGCCGTGGGAG